CTCACTCTGACTTGAAAACTTGAGTTTTGGGAGAAGCTACTACTTTTGGAGATGAATGGCTTGAACGTGAGATACACGAAATAGCCCTCCTCACTACTGGGAGCCAAGCAGTTCCTATAACAGAGCCAATTTGTTGGGTGTAGTCTTGAAGGACTCAAGTGAGCACACATCCTGAGACTTTAGACTATGCTAAGTTGGTTAACATAAAACAGGGAGAGAAGAAACTTCTGGTAAATTCCTAGATAGACTACAGGAGGCTCTCTGCAAGTTTACTGATGTTGATCCTGAAAGTTCAGAGGGAGAAATGATCTTAAAAGATAGATCACTCAGTTGGCTCCAGATGCTTGCTGTACATTACAAAAACAGGAGTTTGGACCAAATCAGTCTTTTAAAAAACTGTTACAGCTGACTCAGACAGTATATTATGATAGAGAATACAGGAGAAAAAAAGAACCAGACAAAAGACTGAAGCCCCAACAGTGACAGTTAGATCTGCTCTGAAACGCCTGAGGAAAAATGTCCAGAGGAACCCAGGTGAAAAGGGATGGACTTGTTATTACTGTGGAAAAAAGGGGCATCTCAAGCAAGATTGCCCTCAGGCATCTAAGCTGCCCCTGGCTCCATGTCCAGTCTGCAAAGGACCATACTGGAGAAGAGACTGCCCTCAAGGTGTAGGCCCCAGAGGTGGAATCTCAAGACAATCGGGACTGAAGGTGCCCAGGGGTCCCCACACAAGCCCATATTCTAATAACACCTGAGGAACTCCAGGTATTAATAACTGTGGAGGGCCTATCAGGGCCCTGTGATATTCTTTTGGACACTGGGGCAACTTTCTGCTCACTAAAGCCCCTGGTCTGCTTTCCTCCTGATCCACTACTATAATGAGGCTGTCTGGACGACCAAATGCTATTATTTCAGTCATCCTTTAACCTGAAACTGGGACTCTGTGCCATTTTCCCGAGTTTCTAACCTTGCTAGAGTCTCCCTCACCCCTTCTGGGTAGGGATATACTGAGCAAGGTCCAGGCCTCTGTTTTCATAAATATGGAACCTGCCCTTTTAATTGAACAAAATGTAAATCCTAAAGTGTGGGCTGACGGAAAAACTGTGGGTCGAGCACAAAATACTGTTTCCGTCGTCATCAAGCTCAATGACCCTAACCTATTTTCACATTAAAGCAGTATCCATTAAAGCCTGAGGTGTTAAGGAAAGGTTAAAACCCATCATTGAAAATTTAAAGGAACAGGGGTTATTAATTCCCTGTAACAGTCCATACAACACTCTTATTTTGGGTGTAAAAAAGTCAAATGATAACACTTGTTCAAGATATATAAATAATAAGTGTCAAATCCTTATACTTTATTGTCTGATATTCCTAAACAAGCCAAATATTTTTCAACCATTTATTTGAAGGATGCTTTCTAGAGTTAAACCTATATTAGATCATCCTCTACCTATGATTTTAAGCCAATTGAGAGGATTCTTAGGCACTATAGGCTATTGCCACATTTGGATTCTGGGTTATAGGGACTTGGCCTTTATATAAACTTATAACTGAGACTCAGCATGTGAAAACTCACTAGCTGGTTTGGTCCCCAGAGACTCAAAAGACTTTTAAGGCTCTTCAAACTGCTCTCTTGCAGGCTCCCACTTTGAGCTTGCCCACAGGATCAGAGTTTGTTTGTTACTGAAAAAAAAACAGGCTATGGCCACATTGCTTAAGGGTAATTGTTACTATTGTTTTGCTAGTGCCTAAAGCTAATAAGTTTACTAATGGGCAAAATTTTACTGTACTGACTTCTCATGATGTAAGTGGGATCTTTTTGTTGTTGTTGTTGTTCTTCATGGCTGTTTTTTTTTATTATTTTTTCCCAATTATTTTTATTAGTTGGAGGTTAATTACTTTACAATATTGTAGTGGTTTTTGTCATATATTGACATGAATCAGTCATGGATTTACATGTATTCCCCATCCCGGTCCCCCCTCCCACCTCCCTCTCCACCCGATCCCTCTGGGTCTTCCCAGTGCACCAGGCCCGAGCACTTGTCTCATGCATCCAGCCTGGGCTGGTGATCTATTTCACCCTAGATAATATACACGTTTCAGTGCTGTTCTCTAGAAACATCCCACCCTCGCCTTCTCCCACAGAGTCCAAAATTCTGTTCTGTACATCTGTGTCTCTTTTTCTGTTTTGCATAGAGGTTTATCGTTACCATCTTTCTAAATTCCATATATATGCATTAGTATACTGTATTGGTCTTTATCTTTCTGGCTTACTTCACTCTGTATGATGGGCTCCAGTTTCATCCATCTCATTAGAACTGATTCAAATGAATTCTTTTTAATGACTGAGTAATATTCCATAGTGTATATGTACCACACCTTCCTTATCCATTCATCTGCTGATGGACATCTAGGTTGTTTCCATGTCCTGGCTATTATAAACAGTGCTGTGATGAACATTGGGGTGCACGTGTCTCTTTCAGATCTAGTTTCCTTCGTGTGTATGCCCAGAAGTGGGATTGCTGGGTCATATGGCAGTTCTATTTCCAGTTTTTAAAGAAATCTCCACACTGTTTTCCATAGTGGCTGTACTAGTTTGCATTCCCACCATGTAAGTGGGATCTTAAACTCTAAAGTTCAGAGCAAAGATGCTCCACCTTTAAAGCTGCTGTAATTCAAGGGGTATCGAAAGCTCTAGGAATAGAATATCACTTACACTGTTCCTGGAAACCCCAATCTTCAGAAAAAGTTGAAAAGCCTAATGATATTATTAAAAGACATCCATGTAAGCTAATTCAGGAAATACAAGGCAGTTTAAAGCTTTACCTATAGCTTTAATGAGGGCTTGAACTGCCCCTAAGAAGAAGGGACTGTCCTAAAGCCTTAAAACTAACTATTTGACTCAGCTTTCGGCTTTTCAACCTCCTCATCAATTGAAGGCTTCCCATGGTGGGTTTCTCCACTTCAAGGAAAGGACTTTCTTCAACTCTGCGAATAACTTTACGAACAACAATCATATGTGACACCTCTTCTTGATCTGATGTCATCTAGCAATCCTAAGATGGACTGATGTAATATAGACATAATGTAACTTTTAATTTTGATTAAGTTGTAACTTGATTTAATGATTATTTTGCCTTACATCTGAAACTACATAATGGGATTTGTTTCTAACCATGTGAAGGCTTTTAGGTTACAAATGGTTGTCTAGGCTCCTATGAGTGTCATAGCCTCCTCCAACTATTACTTGGGGCCTCTGGATCAGAAACCCTCAATATGAGGGTTAGGAGAAAATGTTGCCTCAACAATTTAGGGATGATGCCCTTCAACAGCAGGAAGTAGTTATGGAATGAGAATGATGCCCCTTTCCCTTTTCAACATAATTCTCTTAAAAGAAAAGGGGGAAATGAGAGAGTCAGTTTCTAGGCAGGTTGATAAGAAGTCCAGGGTCCTCAAGGAGAAAGGGGTCTGGGGCTCTCGAGGAGGAGATAGGGGTCTGGAATTCTCAAGGAGGAGGAAAGGGCAAACATCTTTTTTTTCCCCTCTACATTCCTTAGTCTTAGTCACATAAAATGTTTTTTTCTTTAAGCCCAGAACTGATGATTACACAATAAATAACTCAGTTTGAACTCTGTACTAAGGATTATATAACAACAACATATCCTGCTTGAGGACAGTTTCTCCTCCTGAAAACCTCTGGCTAATCCTGTTATCTTAAAATGTAAATTATGACAGTGGATCCAGTAAAGATCAAGATCTTTACAACTTTGAGACATTCTTTTGATTTATTGTAATAATTAATTAAAAAGTATATAACTCCCTTGCTAAAGACTAGCAGGGAGACACTCTCTGTCCCCCTTCTGATGTCTATGTCAGAAGCTTTCTCTGTCCCTTTTTATACTTTAATAAAACTCTGCTATAGAAAAAAAAAGCATCAAATCTTCAGCACTCAGCTTTATGGTCCAACTCTTACATCCATACATGACTACTGGAAAAACCATAGCTTTGACTAGATGGACCGTTGTCAGCAAAGTAATGTCTCTGCTTTTTAATATGCTGTCTAGGCTGATCATAGCTTTTCTTCCAAGGAGCAAGCATCTTTTAATCTCATGGCTTCAGTCACCATCTGCAGTGACTTTCAAGCCCAGGAAAATAAAGTCTGTCACTGTTTTCGTTGTCTCCCCATCTATTTCCGATTCAAGTACAGTGCCAAGATAATGACAATCCTGGATAGCAGATCAAGGTAGGGCTTGGAATTTTCCTGGCTCTCAGGAAATTGTTATTTCTGACTCTTTCTCTTGTCTTAGCCCCTCCTTAACGACTTTATCTCACTTACTTCATCCATAAAATGGGTTGTTGTAAGGTTTAACTGGAAAACTTTATCTCACTTACTTCATCCATAAAATGGGTTGTTGTAAGGTTTAACTGGAATTATGCGTGTAAAATGCCAAGTACAGTGCCTGGTAGCAGAAAAGCCTTCACACTAGTGAAGCAGGATATGTTGTTGTTATATAATCCTTAGTACAGAGTTCAACCTGAGTTATTTGTTGTAATTTGTTTGCCCTTCTCTACTGCTCCATTCCAGGGAGTAATTTGAGGTGCTGGAGGAGGACATCCCGATCTGCCATCCTCCCAGCCCCCGAGCTAAACAGCGCACCAGGAAAGCTGATGGGAAAATACCCTGCAGTGCATAAGGCCAACGGGGGAGTGGTGGCCCCGGGGATGGACTCTTGGAGGCCCTGGGTGACCTCTCTGCCCTGGTGTCCACCCTCCCCAGATTTAAGCTGCAGACCTCCGGGCGGAACGGGGGCGGTGCGCTCCAGCCCCGCCAGCGCGTAGGCGGGCGGGCGGGCGGGGCTCCGCAACCTGAAGCCCTGGGCCTCCAATATAGGCGCTCAGCGGAGGCGCTAGTACGCGGGGGCAGCGCTGCGGGCGGGGGCCGAGATCCAGACACCGAAGCAGCTGGCGCCCAGGTGGCCCGGAGAGGGGCGAGCAACATGAGCAACAAATGCGACGTGGTCGTGGTGGGGGGCGGCATTTCAGGTCAGTGGCGGCTGCGCGCCCTCCTTCTCCCTCCCCAGGCTCCGACAAGTGGCCGCCCCGGGAGGCACGCGGGGCGGCCGTGCGGCGGGGTGTCCCCTGGAGCCCCTAGACAATCCGTGCGCGGGAGGGGATCTAGACGGTCCCAAGCGTCGTACACGGAATCCTCCCTCGGGGGGAGAAGGATTTGGTGGCCCCCTTCCCTCCCCGGACAGAAGCCGGAGGATGCCTTTTGAAGGTCTGGGGCTAGACTTCGAACTTCTGCCCCGGACAGCTGCCAAGCCTGAGACTGCTGGAATTTTCAAAGCGCTGATGGGCGGGGAGAGAGGGTGGTGGTGGTGAGAAAACGGGCAGGGGAGAGACTCTTACTAGGGGGTGGCATAAAGGTCAGTCCCTTGCCCCCAAGCAAAGGTCAGTCCTTTTGCTCCAGCCCGACCTGGACACTCTACACCTTCACTCCGAGCAGGCATGGACCACGACGTGTTGTTATTCTGGAACCAGGAAAACGACTTTGAACAGCTTCCTGTTCAAAAAGAAGGGATTGGACCCTGGGGCATCGACCTTCCTGACCCAGATTTTTTCTGATTCCACGATTGCCATGGGTCTACCTGCAGCTGCAGGGCCTTCTTGTCAAATGTCTCCTCTCCTTCTGCCCCTTCTTCTCCTCTCCCTCACACTCAGTGGAGGGTGGCCAAAAAGCTTAGAAGGGATGGGGGACAGAAAGTACCCTCATAGACACGGGGGAAGGAGGTGGGACTGGGCCTCAGGAAACAGATGCCAGAAGATGGATGGGGTCAGCGGGGGAGCCCCCCGTGAAGAGAGTCAGGCAGATCCTATGAGGTGGGGTCAGTGGAATATTAATCGATGCTTCCAGAACAGCCTGTCTCACAGACCCCTGAGAATGCTTTGTTCCAACCCCCAGGACCTCCTGGTGCTTGAGCAATAATGAGGACACCTCCAAAATCCACCACTGTGTTGTCTAAGACGTGCACTAACCAGACGTCAGGAGCTGGCCTCCAACTTGCTCCCTGGGGGGCGGGCAGGGCAGAAGCATTCAGATTCTCTTGTGGCAGGTGAAGAAAGCAAGGTGCTAGATGTTGGATGCCATGCCTCCATTCCAGCCTTCCTCACCTTTGAGTCAGATCTCAGGCTATCCCTTCTGTTTGCCTGGTCCCCCCACCCCCTCCCCGAGCTCACCCATGCCAGGCTCTGTGCATGGTGCTACAGATGCTTTAAGTACAGCAGCATGCTGTGGTGGACTCTGGCTATATAGATTTCATTTTTATTCAGTATTTTTGGCATCATCTCTCCTAGAGGAATTCAGTGTGTCCGTGCTGCCTTGCATAGCACTCGCATCTTATGGAAGAGGAAACCTCTCTTTCTAGGCCTTCAAAGTCATTTTCTTACCCAAACTATGTCTAACGTGTTCCAATTCTTCATCTCCCCCTTTATTTTGTTTTTTTCTAATTCATTCTCCAAAACTTCACGCTCACTCAAATTATTCATGTAAGACTCGTACTGGAAGGATAGATAAGGGTTTAGCTATTTTTTATAGCAGTGGTGAATCTCTGCTTTTGACTCCCAAACTCTCCAAACAAGGGACTGGTGAGTAGATCTACCTTTTCTCAAGAATGTCACATGGAATAGGCATAGTTCTAAAAACTGAGAAAGCAGGGTTCCAAGGCCTTACTCAATTGCTTTATCTGCTACGTGAAGATAACACCAACTAGTCATAGCTAGATTGCAAGGTCATTATAAAAGGTAGGTGAAGCAATGTGTGTGAAAATGGCTTTGCAAAGTCTGACATATGTATGACACAAGGATTACAAGAGTTTCGTTCATTTATTCAAACAGTACACATTAGGGCAGGCTGTGGTTGAGGATGCAAAACTAGATCACGTTTTTCTTGTCCCGGAAGATTTGTCAGTCTAGGAAAAGAGATGAAGTATCCAGATAAAGGCAATACAAGGTAGAAAGTGGTAGGTGCCACAAGAGAGGTCTATTCATTAGTTCATTATCCATTCATTCAAGGAACATTTGCTTCCTGTCCTGCATACTATCCCAAAGGGAAGGAAAGATGAATTAGGCAGAGCCATTGCCCCTGGGGTACTCACAAGCTGATGTGGGAGGCAGAGTCGTGAACGAGTGATACTAATGAGCTATGATATATGCCTTTTCCTAGGACCTCCTACTGAAGGTTATAGGAAATGTGAATGTTGAACTCTAGGTGAATGTTGAACTCTGCCTGAGAATATCCAGGCAAACTTCACAGGGGTGGTGAAGTAGATCTTAAGGAATGGATATGAATTCACCAGGAGACTGGATAAAGAAAGTATCTGAAGTTAAAGAATAGCTTAAATAAAATCACAAATATATGAGATATTCTCATGCTTAGGAAAGACAAGAACTTTAGCACAGGGACTTTCTTGGTGTTTCAATGGTTTAAGACTTGGCCTTCCAATACAGGGGGTTGCGGGTTCAATCCCTGGTTGGGGAGCTAAGATCCCACATGCCTCAAGGCAAAAAAATCCCAAAACATAAAACAGAAGCAATGTTGTAACAAATTCAATTAAGACTTTAAAAATGGTCCATAGGAAAAAAAATCTTTAAAAAAAAAAGAACTTCAGTGTGGAGATCTGAAGGGGACTTGTGGGAGACCAAGCTACAAAGGTGGGTTGGGATGAGTTGTAGGTAGCCTTGTATGTCATCACCCAAAGATTTAGCTCCCTAGTGGCTCAGATGGTACAAAATCCACCTACAATGCAGGAGACCCAGGTTCAATCCCTGGGTCAGGAAGATCCCCCGGAGAACGGAATGGCTTCCCACTCTAGTATTCTTACCTAGGAAATCCTATGGACAGAGGAGCCTGGTGGGCTACAGTCCACTTGGTTGCAAAGAGTTAGACATGACTGAGTGGCTAATTTTGGGGGCTTCCCAGGTAGCACTAGTGGTAAAGAACCCACCTGCCAATGCAGGAGACATAAGAGATGCCGGTTTGATCCCTGGGTCAGGAAGATCTCCTGGAGGAGAGCATGGCAACCCACTCCAGCATTCTTGCCTAGAGAATCCCATGGACAGAGGAGCCTGGTGGGCCACAGTTCATAGGGTCACAAAGAGTCAGACATGACTGAGTGACTTAGCACACACGTGGTCAATGAATAGCCACTAATGATTTTTTATTCACAAAGTGATATGTCAACTGACAGGAATATGATGATACAAAAAGAGGAATGTGCAGAAGAGCAGGTTTGGGGAAAGATGAAACATCTAGAGTTGAAGGTGCTGATAGAACACCCAAGGAGAGATGTCTAGCAGCTGGAAGTGCAAAGAACAGGTTGGGCTAACAGATTTGTGTGACAGAGACGTTTTAGTTAAGCCCCTGAAGTCCGTGAAATGACCCAAACCAAGAGTGGAGAGAGAAGAGAAGATGCCTAGGACGGAACTGGTTGAGGGGGTGCTCACGTCCTCCACTGGGAGGAAGATATTTCAGTCTTTATAGTTTGATGAGAGAGATGAGGAAACTGGGAAACTGAAAAACACTTGGTTAATCTCAAATCTTAGCTCATATGTCATTTACTGGGGGCAGCCTTCCCAAATCCCTCCAAATGGGTTGAGATGCCTTTGTTTAACTCTCTTCTGCCATCTTGTTCTTTTCCTTGAGTTTTTAATTGTTCACGTATTAGTGTCATTTCTTGTTCAATCACTTTCTCCTCCACTAGGCTGTAAGCCCCTGGAGCCCTGGGTAGTGTTTCTATGTCTCCTGGAGAACCCCCAAACTCCAGCTCCAGAGCTCTGCCTGGCCTAGTTAGGACTCAACAAATGTGTTGAGTTTAATATTATCCCCACAAAGCAGCAGTTGATTGCATCTGAAATTCACATCCACTTAACTCCTGACCCTTTTGCATGTCCTGCCAAATCTTATTGAGTAAGGGGAAAACGGTAAAATCAGAATTTTAGGAATAGTTGGTGACTGACGCAGTTAACTTTGTTAATTATTAAACTTGGACCATTCTGGTAGTTCTCTGATAGTTTTTGAAGCTGTCAGCAAATTTTAATCACTCCCTTTGGCATAAGCAAAGATGGACTGGGGGTATGGATGGTTAATATATAACCTTCTTTTTTAATGTTTGAAAAATTCCAAGGCGACTGTAGAACAGCTTTTTGTTTTGGAAAATGCATGTGGTATATAAACGCGCACCTGCTGACATTTCTTTCACCGAAGGAGCAGGTCATCTCTGGGGACTTGGCAGAGTAATGGCATTTCCCACATGGAGCTGGACAACAGCATATGGCTTCTGTTCCGAGTCTCGATTTTAATGTTTGGTTTGGTAGAACCATGGAAACTATCTTTTGCAATTCTGGAATGACTCTTGCTCGAGCTTCAAAATAAAAGCTAAAAAAGGGAAACTTGAAACAGAAAGGAGAATTTTTTTTCCAGGCTTGAGAGAAGCGATCTGGCTATCTGAGGGTGGCAGGCACTCGGCTAACAGCCTGGAAGAGTCAAAGTCAGCCTTCCAAGTGGCAATCAACACCTGGAAGGTGACCTCTGCATCCAGGAGGGTCAGAGGGCAAGGCTGCTGCAGGCTGGAGGGACTGGCCTAGACAGGGTGCATCAAAGAGGGCCCACAGGGGATCATGAGTTGAGGGATGTGATAGGCAGACAAGGCCTGTGTGTTAATGGCAAAGCCCCCGCCTCACCTTTGATGAAGAAAGATGGAGAACTTCCCTGGACACCTATAACCCACCTGAATGTTCTAAAAAATGGTAATTGGATGGAAGTGCTTGGAAATGTGTATATCCCAGTCAAAGACAGGATATAAAGAGGCAGTATGCAATGTTAAAAGTGCATACTTCAGACGTCAAACAGACTCGTTATGAATTCCATTTCCTATACTTAGCTATTGTGTCACCTTAAAATTTCCCTCACCTCTCTGTTCTTCAGCTGCCTTTTAAAATGAGACTCCCAGTGCCGTTATTGGCAGAGACCTTGTTGCTAGGATTAG